ATTTTCAATTTCACCTTAATTAACTTATGCCTCCATTTTAGGCCATTTTCATCACTTTTTGATACAAGCCCTTTCAACATCTCATGACCTCCTTACTAGCCTTAAAACATCATTCTAAGCAAGTTTGATGTTGAAGATTTTTCCATTTGAAGCTTGGAAATAGGAGATATGGCCTTATGCTTGAAATGACCTATAACCTCCAAAAGACCAAAATACCCTTGACTTGCCAAAGCCATAAGTTGAGTTCTACAAATCCTATCAAGGACTTATAGTACTCTCTAGAAATCTAAGAAGATGCTATACAACATTCACGTTGACCAAGAGTTCATAGGAATCATCCTACTAGGGCAAAAGTTGGATGCAAGTTGGGTGACTTTCAAGGACCCAGATTCACATACCTCAGATGACCTGTAACTTGTCAAAGTCATAACTTGAGTTCTACAAATCCTATCAAGTACTTCTAGTACTCAAATTAAAGCTAAGATCAAGCTCTACAACATTCATGTTGTGGGCAAGATGATATGACAATCACATCTTGAGCTAAACTTCCTTGAAGATAGGGATCAAACTAGGGGATTTTACACTGTCAATCCTTAGAAACCCTAGCTTGAAACTTCTCAAACTCCTCAATCATGATGAGTTGGTCTAGGAATAATCCTTATAGCATCTCAATGCATCATTCCATGATCACATGGATCTTGGATTAAGTCTCAACCCTCTCCAAATCATCAGTTGACCTAGGGTGGACCCAGTCAAACCCTAATTCCACCACTCATGGCTGAATCTTCTGAATTCTTGCACAATGACCTCTCTAGGTTTCATGATGGCTTTCAGGACATATCATAAGCTTTCTCAAAGCTTCAAGTCCATCCTCACTGTAGCGGTAAAAATCGTGAGCGTAAGTTATTAATTAACTTAACTCAAAAAAACAAGAGTCGCCACCGCACTTTTATTTTATCCAAATAAAGGAAAGGAAAAAGAGCGAACAAAACCAAAGAGTTCTAAAATAAGAACACGAGACAGAGATCGGGGTAACAGGGTTGGTTACGCAATGGGAAGGTGTTAGCACCCAAAACGTCTACAGTACTCTATAGGAGCCCTTTGAAATATTTACGTTTTTTGGTTTGAAAATGGTTTGTTTGAAAAGAGATTGGGGAGATGAGAAGAGAATTATTTTTTTAGATTTTTGTGTTTGGAGAGACTTATCGCCTCATGCCTACGTACCCACAAAGTGCAATATGAGATCAAAACCCCGTAGTTCGTGGTACAAATGACAAAAATTTGTTGGTTTTGATTGATTTTAGATGTAAAGACAAGTCGTCATTTCAAGGAGAAAACTGCGACTATCCACCCACGAGTATTAAGACAACATCTGCGTCACATAAAGATGGAGGATTTGCTTGGATTATCAACAAGACTATCACTCAACATCAACGTGGAAAATGTCAAAGTCTTAATAATATGGGGAATAGGAGATTTACATTTCAACTATAGAAATGAATCATGTCTAAACTTTATGAAAAGTTTTAAAGTGAAAAAGTGCATAAAGGCACAAAAAAAGTTGATGAGTTTTTGTATTTTTTATGTCTTTTGAAATTGGTCAAAGCATGATTAACATTGATTGACTTTTATTAAGAAAAAAACAAAGTTTAAAAATCACTTGACGAAAGTCAAGGTTTTATTGCGAAAGCGGTTTTGAAGTTTGAAACCAAGAAGGTTTTGAAAGAGGGAGAAAGTTTTGAAAATTTAAGAAGGGGAGGAGATGAAGTGACTATCCTAGAAACCAAAATAAGAGCTAGAGGTAAGAAAGATCTAACCGACTTGTAGCACACTCCATAGCAAGCAAAAAAGAATTCCATCCGATTTAAAGCATAAGCTAATGAGCGAGCCAAATAAAGGCTAAGATCCACAATACTCCAAGCATAGGAATAAGAGTCCTAATTCTAAGTCCAAAGGTCCATGAAGTCCAAGGTCTAAGAGTAGTCCAAGAGCATAACCACAAAGTTAACAACACCAAGTTTTTTAGAGATTTTTTTATCCTTTATTAGTGTTTTGAACAAGATATGGTCCAAGTGGACAAAAGAGAAATGACATAAACATAAACAAAGATATGATATGAAATGATAATATGGAAGCATAAAAGTAAGAAATAAGGAGTAAGAAGAGAATATAAACAAAATTAAACAAAGATAATGTTAGTGAATTAGTAATTAGTGGTTAGAACATATGATCAATGATGATTAATTCTTGCACTTTAGACCAAGGTTAATGAAAACTCATTAGAGGATTGATAGAATCAAAGCCTCCTAACAATGATTTTCATAGGTATTGGACTTAAGACAAGCAACTAAACATACTTGGACTTTTAAACGTAAGTTTGAGCCACGAATGATCATTTTTCGATTAAGGGACACTTTAGCGCTATGTTAAGCAATCGTAATCGGGTTTATGTAGAAACCCCGACTATCTGAGGCCGGTCAATAAAATGTTAGTGTTAATACATGTTAGAGAAGTGATATGTAAATCACTCTCCTAAAACATGCCACACAAAAAGAAAAGAGGTAGTGATCTCATCATAATCAAGATTTTTAATCAATTAATCAAAGGTAATTTATCACTATTCTAAAGTACGGAGAATTATCTCAATGATTATTCATCCATAGATTTGAAATAATGAAGATTAAACAACCTTGATAATCAACAATCTATGATCCATAGATTTCATCGATCAAAAATAAAAAGAAGAAGAAAGAAAATTAGAATGAAAAGAAATTTCAATTTGAATCTTAAATTGATTAAATCATCATCAATATCAATCACCTCTTTTAGTGGATAAAATCAACACTCAAAGTCCATTGATATTGATGAGATCTTATCAAAATTCAAGATCCAAAACAAAACAACAATTAATCCAATACTAAGATATTTTTTTCAAATCATTTTTTAATGCTTTTTCCAAGAATATTATTATTATTTTTTTAAAAAATAAACTAATAACAATAAAAAAAGGAAAAGGCCCACACGGCCAATTTTCTTAAAAGAAATAATAAAAAAGAAAAAAGAAAATAAATGAAATAATAATTGAAAAGGAGAAAGAGAAAATAAACAAAAACATCATCTTCTTCTAGCTCTCACACGCGAAAATGTTCACAGCCATGGATGCTTCGGTGCTTGCTTAAATCAAAACGGCGGGACGCGAAAATCACACGAAATGGATCGAAATCAAGAGCTCTTCACAACAGTACCAACAGTTCAAAGAAATGCAACCAAAAGTAACGGATCGAAAACGACGGTGAAGCTCAAACTACCTTCAAACTCAGGTAAATGATGAAATCAAAACTCTCTTCTTCTTTCTTCTTCTTCTGAATGAATTCTGGTTCGAAATTGATCTCTGTTTAAGGTTAATTGAAGTTAATTTGGTGGAAGGAAGTAGGAGAAGAGAATATGAGCAAAAGGTTTCGTAGTGAGGAATTGAGGAAGAAAATTAGCAGAGATTTTTTGGCTTGAAAAGCTTGAAAAAACAAATGAGAGGTGAGTTGTATTTATAGATTGAGAATGAGGGAGAGTGATTTGCCGTTTGTGAAATTTTCACTGCGTTTTGTGATGCAAGTTGTGCGTGACTTTTTGCTGATATTTTTTCATGTCGTTTTTATTTTTCTTTGTAGCTGACGTGTTATTCACTTTTTGCAATTGGCTCATGGCTTAGAAACCACTTTAAAGCTTGTGGGGTCAGCTTGGAGTGTCACAGCTGGAATTATATTAACATGGCTTGGAAATATGGCTCAATATGAAGCCTCTCAAAGGTACGTTTTGACTTGCTTGTATAAGTATCTCCAGTTGTAATATTTCCCTGCTACGAGCTGCACAGTGTAGAGCGTAGGAGCCACCAGTATTTTTATTACCGTTTTCAAGTGTGAATTCAAGCATGACCTTTTCAAATAAATCAGTTATTATTCAATTCAGATAGCATTATTGATGTTTCACCAGATTTATTGCACAGCTTTACATCGGCTCCGGCATACACAAGCTATTGAAATTATTCAACATGACCTTTCACGGCTGGGATTTGGCTTTAGCTTTCATGGATCACTTACGGTTCGCACCGCTTGGTCTATGTGATGTTTATTTCCTCAGCTCATCCTCGGTTTCGAGCCGCTTTCGCTCTGCTTCTTCAGCAATTTTCTGCAGGCTGCACCTTGAGATTATTCAACAGAGTGGCCAAGACATCCTGGGATTCACTAACAGACTTATCACCAATGTTTACAAAGTAGTCAAATTACTTTTTCTAGTATCATGCAAGTCTTTTGAAGAACCAATATTTTCATGGTAAAACTGCAAAGCAGAAATTCGTTGTTGTTCATCTGTTTGGTGAAGAACAAAAGCAAACACATTTGGCAGCCAATCAGTATGCATCCACTTGGTTATAATCTTTGACAGATGAGGATAAAGACCATTAATGCACCCCTCGCCTATGGCACCAAGTGCCAAGACAGCAGCTTCCCTTTCTTTCCAACCATCATCTCTAGCAGTTGACAACTTGGCCTCAACAATAGGCATCAGAGTAGGAAGGATCTCATCTCCAAACACATTTGAGAGAATATCCAGAGCAGCCGCACTACATTTCCATAAATTCCATGTGTTGACAACATCTTCATCATCATCAGCATAAGCCATGTTGGGCAAAAACTCTCTCAAATTTTCTTGTGGCATTTGAGCATCACAATATGCAGACCAAAATTCACAGGATTCGAGGGCCACTTCTTCATTTGTGTCCTCGTTGACTTGTAACATATATTCTATCACATTCTTTAAATGTGGCTGCAAGACAGATGGATGGACTTCGATCAACTGAACAAATGCTGCACAGACCAACTTCCGCACTTCTGATGTAGGTATATATGCTGCTCCAGTCCTGACTAGAACCACCTTCCAACATGTTACCAAGAGCAATATGACTGTCAAAGGAACAGAAATATAAAAAACTGCAAAATGACTTGAGATTACTTCTTCTCCTCCTCATTTGGTCGCTCCTCGTCATTCTTCTTCTGAGATTCAGACTGATTTTGCATGGAAGCCAGCAAATCTTTGACCGATGGATCATTTGGGTCAACCCCAGGAAGCGATGCAAGGATAGAAGATACAAAGGACTGGTCCGCCAACAATCTACCGACTGTATCGTTGGGGGGTTCTGATACTGACAATTGGAAAGCTCTAGCCAACTCAGGGTCATCCGTAGCTGCTTCAGACATATCTGCATCTTTTACATCATGGCTAACTGCAGGATCATCCATCGACATTGCAAGGGCCTGTTGTAGTAGAGCATTCTCATCGTCCATCATGTCATTTGTCTTAGTCCCAACTTCAAAAGCTGCAGTACTGGTTTGCTCAGTCATAGTTGCATCCTGGGAAACAGCTTGCTGTTCACCACCTTTCTCCTGTTTGGAAGCATCCTCTGCAGCCTTTTTCGCAGCTGCTTCCTACCTAGCTCTCTCCTCTTCCATTGAAACTCTTAGAGCAAGAGCCAATTCAGGGTCCAAGTTTGGATCAACACCAAAATCATATCCAGATACACCACCGGCAGATGCTGCTGCTGCAGCAGCTGCAAAACCACTTCCACCTTCTCCATCACCAGTAAATATAGGTGTACTTATAAGTACATCCGAAAGAGCATTTGGACCAGGTGGAACATGAACCATGTGGCTACTATCATTATTGTTTACCGCTGCAAGGAGTGCTTCAAGCTTCTCTGTCTTCCCCTCGTCATCTTCACCAAAGTTGACAATGTCAAGTGCAACACTATTCTTTTTCAACTTTCTCCCAATCATTTCCAACATTTTCTTCTCGTGCTTGACAGGACTTCCAGAAAAGACAATAATCCTTTGCTGCTGCTTCTTATTCTGCCTATGCTTAAGAGCCAACTGCGCCACCTGAATGCCAGCAGCTAGATTCATCTCACCACCTATTTCTAGACCATGCATACAAGCTAAGATTTTGCCCAAATCACTAGTAGGGGTAGCCAAAACCCGAACACCTTTCCCCGCCATAGTTAGAACTCCAACAGTATTTTCAGGATTGAACTGAGTTTTAGCACCGCAAATGAGACTTACAGCGTCTGATTGGGCTTGAAATCGGGAAGGAGAGTAATCACCGTTACGCATCCATTCAGAGTTGTCAATACAGATCATCGTCGCCTCGAGCACCATTGTTGGAGATTTGGAGAAGTTCAGAAGCGAGATTTGGAAGGATGATAGAAAACTTTTTCTCAGAGAGAAGAGAACTCAGGTACTTAAGTTCCTGCAAGGAGTTAACGAAGCTCTTGCTGCGTTCCATGGAAACTTCATCGAAGGTCATAGCGTGAGTTGTGAAACATCGTCGTTGGGTGCTCCAACTCCATGGCATGTGATTCGATGAGGCTCAGCTAATCCGACACCAACACGAGGTTCTTCTCTCATATCTGTTTTCCTAAAAATCAAGCTCATAGTTCAACCTAGATATCAAATTTTACTCCAACATGCAACAGTAATTTGACAACATTTATCTTCCTACTGTCAACAGCAGCAAATAATACATTGCAATAAACATTAGTGTGGAGGAACGGTTTCGAAGATTGAAGCAAAATCCTATCCATTGCATTGATATCCACTCCATGAATCCTTGTAATACATTTCATTATATATTGATTCTCTTCAGACTCTGGGAGCTTCAAGGCATTGAAAAGATTGTTCATCAGCATTGGAAAAAAATGAATGGACTGATATCTGCCGAACTATAACGTGCTATACCTCCCTTGTCCTTTACCAATATCGATGTCACTAGGGAAATTAATGAATTTGGAACCTGCCAGCCATGCGATCTAAAAAAAATCTGATACAGCAACTTCAGTTTCGCGTTTTAAGAAGTCTTCTTACTGAAACCCATGTGTCATTTCCTAAGACCGGTGCCACTCCTAACATAACCGAAACCAATGCATAGCAAACATGTTGAGATGAATCGGTCGATAACTCCTTTATACATGGTAGAATATGCTGAATGGCTAGTTCAGGACTTAATGTTCGAGAGAACTTAGTTACTTTCTCAACAGCAGCAATACGTAATTCCGCCTCATTATCATGCAGCAGCCGAACATAAGCAGGTACCAATTTCGTCTTTTGTAAGAGTACTTTCGCCGAATTCATCCACCAGACAGAGATCGTGAAATGGCATGCTCAACATCATCTCTATTTTTGTCATGTAATGCCGTCAGTAACAACTTTTGTGCGAAAGTTTCATTTGTTGATCTAGGAAACATACAAGCTTCATCGAGAAAAGCAGTAATGCCTCCAGGCTTCTTTTCAATGAAATCCAACATATTTTGATTGCCAACAAACTCAATGTAACTCCAATCAATCTCCTCTTTCTTGTATTCTTCTTGCTCCATTGAACTTATCTGAATGTTGTTCATTGTTAGCTTCGTAATGCCGTATATTTGGTCTAGGTCATGTAGAACTCCTGCCCTTGTTTCCAAAGTCATCCAAGTCATCAACACTCTCATCAATCATAATGTTGTGGACACCATTAGAATCATATTTCTTGCCAAAAATAATAACCTGCAACTTGTCATAACCAGCAAGCATACCAGCACCAGCCACAACACGGAGGATGTTAGCACCAGCTCCCTTGAACAATGACTTGGTTCCCTCGTTCTTGAGGATTTTTTGGAATGCATCCAAGGAACTATTGTACATGACAGCTTCTCCTGATGTCATCATCATTCTTCTCCTAACTGTGTCAATGGGGTATGAGGCTAGACCAGCAACATTGGTGATGAGCCACCCAAGTCCAAAACTGGCGAAAAAACTATCCTGCAATTTTCCAGTCAGAAGAACTGGTTTGAGGGAATCATACATTCCAAAGTAGAGACCACGGTACACAATGATTCCAACACAGGAAATGTTGAAACCACGGTAAAGCCCAGCAACTCCATCAGTTGCGAGGGTCTTCTTGTAGACATCGACAAGACCGTTGAATTGTCTTTCTCCACCCTTCTTAGCTGCCTTAGCGTCATTGGCAAGACGGGTACAGGCATAGTCAAGTGAGTAAACAAACAAGAGGGATGAGGCACCAGCAGCACCTCCGGATGCCAAGTTTCCAGCAAACCACTTCCAGTAACCATCTCTGTCCTTCTTGAAGTTGAAAAGCCTCTTGAAGTAATCTTTGAATGCAAAGTTCAATGCCTATACTGTGCCAACCATTGTTTACACATATCAAGCACAGGAAGTGAATTTGCATGCAGCGCCTGATGAGCAACATATTGAACACCAGCCACACTTCCACTTCGCGAAACAATTTGAAATGCACTTTTTAAACGGCCACAAACTACACAAGCAAGAACTTCAACAGAAGACGGGGCGTATCCTTCCTGATTTGCTTGCGGACTCCAAAGCTCTTGCTGAAGATTTCTATCAACCCAGTCTTGATTTGTCACTCTTCTAATTCAGATAGCTGCTGAACACGAACCATATTTGAAAGACCTTGAATAATAACTATGCCTTGAAAATGATCTTGAAAACTTGTATGATGCATGTCCTGTCTTGAAAACTTGAATGACATTTGAAAATTGGACTTTGAATTGTGACAATCATCTTGTCTTGTTAAACTCTTGACAACCTTCAATCATGCTTTAAAATCACTTGGAAATGGCACACTAGAATGAGCACTTTGGACTTGTATCCTAAAACAAACATCTTGATTGAACATCCACCAAACCTGACTTATACAGACAAAACTCTGAATCTTTGATTAAAACTGGGCCAAACTTCTCATAGAACACTGCTCGATAAACTGATGATTCTCCTCAAGGCCACTTGACCTCGAATAATCATCTCTTGAAAAAATAGACCACTGATACAGATACTTGCAAATGAAGTAATCCCCTGATAGTTTGACATTAACTGCACATGAATAGCCACACTCGATTCCAAGTCATTCTTTTGCCATGAATCTCCCTACAAAACCTTAAACACACAGTGAAGAAGAAACAAACAAATTGAAAAATATTTTTGGTATTTTGGTTAGAGGTTAGTAAACAGAAACAAACATAAAACAAGTAGAAAACACAAGTGCGCTGGGAGAACCAAAAAGTATGGTCTTGTTTGTGTATGCAAAAATGCAAATGAAATGTGGGATCTTAGGGGTAAAAATTTGGGTATTACAGATGCCCCTATTTAAGATTCTTCTATAGGGAGATATGAAGATTGACATCTTTGTCTCGACTAGATAGAAGAGACTTAAATATAACAATAAACCCAATTTTTGGCCCTAAGAGGCCACCAAATGATATGATTATGCTAATGATATGGTATGCAAACACAAGACCACCGTGGGGAGAAAATGCCATAGGAGTAAAACAAACACTGGAGAAAAAGAAGGAAAGAGACTTCACAAGAGAAAACAAAAAAAGCAAGACCCTATTTCGATAAAAGAAAGGAAACGACTCAACGGGGAAAGAGATACCAACTGCCAGTTACTGGGCGAAGATATTCGAACCGAAGAGAATAGGTAAAATACTTTCTACTGGTTACTGAGTAGAAAATAAGTGCAAAAAACACAAGAGAATTGTTATCTACCAGTTACTGGGTAGAAAACAAAGAAATGTATTACTTATTACCAGTTACTGGGTAAAAAGTAATCCACTCGTTGAAATATAATCAACTACCTGCTACTGGGTAGAAAACAGAGATATATTACTTATTACCAGTTACTGGATAAAAAGTAATCCACTCATTGAGATATAATCAACTACCTGTTACTGGGTAGGAAAAGAAGCAACGCCAACTACTGGTTACTGAGTAGTTTAGCGAGAATAATAAACTTGAATGAAAGGGGTTACCAACTATCGGTTACTGGATAGGGTAAACAACATGTCAACTACCTGTTACTGGGTAGGACGGACTCGACTACCTGTCACTGGGTAGGAGAAAAAGATAAAGGTCAACTACCTGACACTGGGTAGGACAAACATACTTGACTACCTGTCGCTGGGTAGGAGAAAGAGATATATCATCAGCTACTTGTTACTGAGCAGCTCCAAACACACAACAAACTTCTCAAATAAAGAGACAACCATTTGTTGGAAAAAGATATTAACAACTCTGTCGGGGATCTTTAAAAGAGATACGAGCAGGTTGAACCATGCAATAGAATTCTCATCGGGAGTTATTCCACAGAAATTCCAATTGACAGAAAAGTTGGTCAGATAAAAACTTCTCTGTTGAGGATGAGCCAGAGAAATGTTATTTATTGAGAAGGTAAATTTCTGGAGATTACACAAGCTGCTCAAATAAAGAGGCTTCCACATGAAGTTGCATAAGTAATTGCCAAGAGAGTGTTATCAAAACACTACTGGGGAAATCAAATCTTCATCTTCTGATGGGGATCAATAACAGATTCTGCCGAGGAAAAATAAATCCTCAAAACTACCTTTTCATCATCCAGGTTTCACATCCCAGGGAAAACCAAAGTAACTGCTGCAAGAGACCAAAGTTCAATCCAGGAACAAACTGGAAAGAAACGATCAAACAAGACTCGACCCAATGAGGAAATAACTCAACTGGGGAACAATTCCATCCAGATAAAAACTGGGGAGGAAAGCTAAACAAAACATCTTCCACGAGGCATAAACTCAGTGGGGAATTAAAAATGATATGTATTTTCTGCTTAGGGGTCGACACTCTAATGAAGAGGGGACACACGCATTCTGCGAGATAACAACATCGGGAAAAGGGAAATACCAACAAAAAATGCAGGATGCACAATGCAACAAAGACATACTATGCTCAACCAAAATGAATGCGCATGCAATGAGTATGAATATGCTGATAAATCAGACAAAAAGGGAAAACAGAGGGTGAACAAAACACACAACACCACTGAAATACTCGGCTAATCTCTGCGAGTTAGAGATATCATTGGAGATCGTGCTGGGGATCAACAACAGAAAATCTGCAAGAGATACACAAGAGCCATCAAAGGAAAATAAATCCTACTAAAAGGCTTAAATCTCGTTGAAGAGACAAAGATACCGCTTGGGAAAAGACCCCAAAGATCAATCTTCAACCATCAATAATTCAACAAAAGGGAACAACAATATGAACTCCGCTTTGAGAAAAAAAACTGTTGGAGAAAACATAACAACACAAATCTTCCAACCCTGCCAGGGGAATAA